TAAATCTTCAAGTATTTCAGTCATTACTGTTATCATATTTAAATTTGCTGAAATAATATTTTTAAAAGTAAATAATAAATTTTTATCACTTATTTCAGTTTTATTAAAATCAATTATCTTTGCAAATGATTCAAAACGTGTAAAATTAAACGGTTTAATATCTATCAAAAAAAAGAATTATTCATATTCGTCTATATAGAGAAATCAATATCAACCTTTCATTTGACATATAGCACCAAGTGTTGGTTTAGTACAAGGAATATCATTTAATTTACCGATTTGTTCTAATAATGATTTTTTATCTGTATAAACAACGATTTCTACGCATTGTTCACCAACTTGATAATAATTACTTTCATAATTATTTGGTTCGTTTTTATTCCAAATGGTGACTTTCTTTTTTTTTTTTTAGAAATAAAGAAGAAAAAAGTTATTATTTAACTTATTTGAAAACATAAAGACAAACTTTTTGTCCATCATTTCCAATATAACATAAAAGATTTGTATTGACATAAGATGTATTAGAATAATCATCACACTACAATAAATAATCAATATAGAACATTTTCACTGTTTGAGACCAACCTAACGTTCTCTTTTCTAATGCTATACATACCAAAACGACATAAATAAACGAAAGATTAGTGAATCTAATACCAGATGTATTACTCAAGAAAAGACAAAAGAGAAAACATATCAAGTCTTTTCATGCTACGATAATATGACTAAAGAAATTTTTAAGAATTAGCCAATGATTTATGTAAGATAATAATAATAAACAATTAGAAAGTACAAACAGTTACTTAGCAAATCCAATGAATCATGTTGTTACAATCTATAATTATTCATGATTATATTCAGTCAATTTAATATTTAAAAAAAAAATTCATATCTCATCTTTCAGCAACATAAATATTCCGCTGCCTATATTTCGAAACCTATACTATCTGATCTAAAAACTAAATTTGTTTTTTTTTAGACTTACATCTATTTCATTCTGTGTCCATGTTATATTATTAGACCATATCCATTTTGATTCTGATTGATTTTTACTATTCAACAATCGTTTTAATCCAATATAATATCCTCTTGTTTTTGGACATTGTCCTTTACATGTTATATTAACTAAAAATTCATAAAATCAAATTTAAAACTAAATAATGACACAAAAACATTTATTTTATCTTACACATATTTAATTGTTTTAATCTTTCAAGTAATTGAATATTATCAATAATAGCTAATTGAAGACCATATCTATGACAGATTTGTTCAGCTTGTTCATATTGTAAAATTTCTGTAATTCGAATATAACAAATACGTTTATATTTTTGTACATATTTTATAGTACGTAATGGCCATAATGGATTAACACAAGCAGATGATTCTAAATACATTCATAAAAATATAAAGAAATTCTTATTGAATTAAAATTTAACCTTCACGTTTTTGACAATCCTTTGTTATTGTACAATATTGTGCACAATCTGGAGATAAACGATAACGCCATTTATATGATCTTTCTTGTTGTCGATATTCATCAAGACATAACTATAGAAAATTTTAATTACATATAACATTATTTTCAAATTTTATTTACTTCACGTCTTGTTTCAATAGTTTCTCTTGATTCTTCATATTTCATTGGAAAAGTTATATGAGATTGTAAAAAATTGCTTGAAATTGTATGAGAAATTCGATAAGTTTCTATATATTATTTTATAAATAGATATGACACTAACAAAATTTTCATTAGTCTTACTTGATTGTATTGATATTATACTTGTCAAATATAAAACAACTATTAAAACCATCTTATCTAAATATTTCAATATTAATTAATGTGACAAAGTAAAACTAATTCTATTAAATAAGGAATTATTATTTATACAATTCTATCTAAATACAGAGAATGTTTCAGTTCCATTTTTTTTTGTCTTTACCATATTAGTCATTTATGTATTCGGATAGCGCGCAGAATTCTCTGCAATCTCGTATATGTAAATTTGAATTGTATTTGTTCGGTAAAATAGAAATTTAAGTACAATCAAATTCTTCGAAAATATCTTTTTTTCAAATTTATTTTAACGGCATAACTTATATACGAACTTCACGAATCGTTATCTAGTAATCAAATAAGATGTATAAATAATTATTCACGTGCTTAATTCTAATCGTAATCTTATTCAACGTTTTTATTTTCTCTTAGATGAAACACTGTGCACATAGATAATATTAAAATTCTCAATAAAACTTGATCTAGAAATGTACTATGTGAGTACCTTAACAATATTTGAAATATTTCGCATTAAATAATTGAAATTCATAGACTGACAAAAGTACAGCATGATAGAAAAGATCATGCACGTTCAGAATAAGAGTCTATTTCTATGTGAAAATAATTTTGAAAAAAAGAAACAAATAAGACATTTTCGAAGAATCTGATTGTGTTTGAATTTTTATTTTACGAAACAAATACAATTTAAAATGTACATATACAGGATTGTAGAGAATTTCATACGCTGTTCGAATGAAGAATATACTTAAAAAAAACAGCATCAAAACTATTATCAAACAAGAAGTTGCATTCAATTTATATGAATAGAAAGAAAATGTTATACTGATAGACTTTAAAAAAAGAGTTTATAAAACTTAACTTTTACTCTTTTGTAAGATTCACATAGAACATATGTAAGGGCAAATTTTGTTGAACATTACCTCGTCTTTCAGCCATGGATAACTTTCACTGAAGACTATCATGCAATATAAAAGGTTACTACATTTCTTTTGCCTCAAGCTTTCTTCTCCTTCAATAACAGATATATATGTACTAGAAATGGATGTTCTACTCTAATCTTTCAATAATATTTCATTACATAAGAACGTATTTCTACCAAATTATCTCTTAGCTTATATGAAATAAGTGAGCTTCACATTTTAGTCTCATACGGATTAAGTTAATAACCTTGTTTTGATTAGGTCTGGGAAAAATAACAGTTACTAACTGTGAATCAGTTTTGTTGTTCTGTTTTTATAACGTACTATTCATATAAGAAAAAGAAATCAAATATTCAATTTTCTTCTGTCGAACGAATTCTATTTAAAAATTTTTCAAGAAAAAATAAATTGGAATCGTTTTTATTAACTATATATTTATTAGTATAGCATTATTAGCCTATCAATGGGATTTCTTTTGTATAATATCTTAGATGCTACTCTGTAAATCTGAATCATAAATGTCTGTGCATCTTTGAATACTCTAAAGATATGAAAAAAACAAAAAAAAATAAACTAAAAAATCCGTTTAGTTAATCATATATTTGTTCATTTACTTATATTTATCGTAATACGAATATCTTGCTTTTCTTTCTGAATATTTATATTTACAAGAATGTTTCTATTGGGAAATCAATTTTTATAAGAAATCAAAAGTATTGAGGAACATATTAACTTTTTTTATTATTCTTTTAATCTGTTCCATCTTGTTAGAAAAATAAAAGATGTAAACATGTATGTAATCAATGACGATCGATTTGCTAATACGATCATAAGAAAAACAAAAAAATTCTTCTTCTTGATTCTAAAATAATTTGAATAATCGAACAAGTTTATGTTTCTTGACTATATTTTTTCTCCGCTAATGTTTAATTATGTTACTTATTTAATTCTTTATCTTTTATGACAGGCGAAAAATTAACTTAAGAAATAATTATATGAAATGATGATTGTTGTATTTGAATGATACATTTTTTTGACTCTCTTCCATGTTTTTTTTCTGATTGTAGGGAAAAAAGAATGTCATTGTGACTAAGAAAGAAGCGATGCAAAATAATTGATATTTATCATTTTTTTGAATAACTGGAAGCCTCAAATTAAATCACATAGTGAGGATCTATTCATCTATATTGAAATGAGCTAAAAAAAATGGTATCATTATCTGAATTACTGATATAACTAAGAAATTATGGGTTATGATGTATCAGCGCCCTACCTTATTAAGAGAAATCCATGCGTTATTGTGACAATGATGATAATAATTATGTTTCTTTCTTTCATCTAATAGTAGGGTTTGTGTCAAGAAAGCAATAATCTATGTGATAACTATCAGGAAACTATCGACGATCTTTGATTTTTAAACGTGTAGTATTATGATATTTTGTATTAAAACTGGTAATTATTTTTGAAGTTTGCTGAAGCTGACAGAATTGAATTATTTTAAGTGAATTATGGTAAAGTTCGTGCGATTGAACCACTTGTACTAGATACAAGGTATAAATTAGCTCCAGTTATGTGATTGACATCGGAGTAGAAAACAATCTCTGCAATCGAAAGTCGTAAGAGCTATCGCCGGTTCTTATGGGTACCGCAGTATATTAGCAGTAAATAATAACTAATAAAAAACCAATGCATTATCTTATATAGAGTAGAAAGAGAGTTTTAATACGATATATTATGATTTATCAAATATGAGAAAAGTTTAACTAAATTAGATTTCTACAATAATGATATTTTTATGAAGATCTATAGAATAAAGCATTTTACTAGATCTTTCTTTTTTGAAGTTTTCGATCGAGTAATGAATTATTATTTATAGAAAGAAAACAAGATAATCTTATTAACAATCATCCGAACATTAACTTATGCACCAATATGAATACTGTTTCCTATTCAAATTTGATATCATAGAGACTTGCTTGGTATAAGTTTAATTATCATGTCTATTCAAAATTTTATATAATTCACCGTGAAACATAATATTAAAAACTTTATTAAATCATTCAAAAAACAAATATATATATATATATATATATGTATGAGATGTTCATGTTCATTTTGCAAACAGTTGTATGTTACGAAAATCTTAAAGACGATTGGTCGAAATGTACAAATATTGCTCTATGTATGTATATATACATTTGGAGATTTAAATAGAAAAATAAACAACAATTAAATGGATATATGAATAGATTAACACATTTAAAAGAATCATGTTATGTAAATCACCATTTTACTTTCGTTGACTTTCGTACAGGACCATTAGGTCCATTCATATGTTGTTGTAATTTTGATGGAAGTTCAGTTGAAGTCATATTTTGAGCTTTTGAATTTGATGTAAATAGTGTTTGTTGATTAGATGGTGGTGGTGTAAATCTAGAATGATAAAATTTTCTTTGACAATGTTTTTTTTTTCTTTCACCTTAATAAATCATCTGTTTTCTTATGATTATGCATTTTAGTCGAAGAGGAAATTGCAGGTACTGCTGATGATACAGATTTTTTTTCGGACATTGCTTCAATAATAGGTTTCACTTGAATTTCATTATTTATTGCTTTATTTTTAGCAGCTTCTAATTCTTGTGCTCTTCTTTCTTCAACTAATCGAACAAGTTCTTGGTCAAGACTAGAGAGAAAGAAAAAAAAAATTTTTTTTTCTTTATCTTCTATTCAAAATTGTTTTCTTCTATACCCATGATTATTTTCAGAAATAACTGGTTGTGGTAATTCTTTATCAAAACCATCACTCCCACAAAGCCAATAAGTTTTATAATTACCTCGACCCTACAATATAAAATTGAATTTATTTCAACAAAAATTTCTTTGAAAATATTTACTTTAATTTCTGTAATACCACGATATTCTAAATGAAATCCACCAATTGCTTCTAATAAACCAGCAGTTGTTTCACTTGAATGAATTCGAAAAGCTAAGAAAAAAAAAATAACAAGATTAATCTTCATATTTAAAACAAAATATTTGCTAATTTTTTTTTCAATACCCATGCTTGTCGATTCCATTCGTGATGCTGTATTAACTGTATCACCAAATAAACACTATCAAAAAAAAACAAGTATATATATATAGTTTGATTTAATTAATAGAAAAAATTTTTTTACATATCGAGGCATTTTAAGACCAACAACACCAGCAACACATGCACCAGAATGTAGACCAATACGTAATCGTAATGGTACACCAGGCATATGACGTATTTTAAATTTACCACATGCATGTAAAAGTGTTAATGCCATCGTAGCTATTTCTGATGCATGTTTTGTTCCGTTTTGAATTGGAAGACCACTAACTACCATATATGCATCACCGATTGTTTCAACCTAAATATAATTTGAATATAAGAAAATAAAAAAATCATAGAATAACTTTAATAGATAATATAAATATATATATTAAACCTTATAACAATCAAAATCTTCAAGAATTGAATCAAACATTGTATATAAATCATTTAATAAATCAACAACTTCCATTGGACTACTTAATGCTGATATTGTCGTAAATCCAACAATATCAGAAAAATAAATTGTTACACATTCATACCATACAGCTTCAACTGCTTTACCAGATTTTAAACTATCAGCAACACTCCTGAATAAACAAAAAATATATATATGTTTTTCGATTGTATAATTAAAACAAAAAAAGAATTTCTTACGGTGGTAACATTTGTGATAAAAGTTTGTCAGTTTTTTTCTTTTCTTCTTCAAGTTGTGTTGTTCGTTCACGAATTAAATCTTCCAAATTATTTGAATATTGTTCAAGCATTTTAAACATTGTATCAACAATATTTACTTTTCTATTATTAAAAAAAAAATAATGTTATAATTGCAATAAACATAATATTCTCACAAAAAAAAAAAGTTTATCGAGATCGTTCTCAAGAGTCTAAACTATAAAAATTATCTAATAGAAAATTTTTAAGTCATAGATCGAACTCTAGTTTTGATTCGAAAACTTCAAACATGAAATAAAGTCGAAGTCAAATTCAATATCGATTCTTAATAAGATGTTGTTAGAATCTTTAAAATGCATCAATGTTCATAATGAATATCAGAGAACAAAATCTACTATTCAAAAAAAGTTCATATTTTAAAACTAAATTAATTGCTTAAGTATTACTTTAGCAATATGAACAATCATGAAAACACCTTTAGATTCGCGAAAGCTCGAAATCAAATTTTTTTGAATACAGTTAATTTTCTTTTAGGATGATTGTAGCCTTTCAGATTTTGAATCATGTATCTCACTGCATGTAGAACTACCATCGTATATGTTCATTGCATGGTTGCTCATGAAATATTGTTATATTTGTAAACAGTTAAGGCGTTTTATCTAATGTGAGGGTATGATTGGCCTTCTCGAAGTTTTAGTTTGTACTATGTGTCTATGCTTTAGTTTTTCTGTCCTTGAGTATGAAAAAAAGACTAGACTGGTAATCGGACAACAGTCAAGCATTATACTAATCTTGATTTTCTTTATCTCATATGTTTGACTTACTTTCCACCATTAAGTAATTTAATTGATTGAGCAAGATCATTAAATGATGGTCTTGATTCTGGTTGTTCGGCCCAACATTGTTTCATTGAATTAATATATTCCGGTGGTGCAGTTTGTTTTGATACTGAAGGTCTTAATAATGGTGGTGGTTTTTTTATTTTAGCAATTATTTCTATAAATAATATAAGATAGAAAAAAAAAACCGATAACAAAAGAAAATCAATTTTTGTTTTTTGAAAACCTTGAGGTGTAAGATCAAGCATACAATATGGTGGTCCACGTAAAATAACTTCTTGCATAATAATACCAAAGCTATATACATCACCTGCTGCTGAACTTGTTATAACTGTTGCAACATCATTTTTAATAATTGTTGTACGAACATGTTCAGGTGCCATCCATAAAAGATCTAAATCAAAGATATTTGAATAAAAAACAATCTTTTTGTTTTTTTTTAATGTTTTGTAAAAATATTTCCAACAAACCAGCTATATCAATTTGTCTTGGTGCATTTTGTAAAGCATACATTTCATTAAGACGATAATCAGTTATTTTCAATACCCAACGTGAATCAACAATACAATTTCTTGATTTTAAATTTCCATGACAACGTATTGAAGAATTTGATAAATAACGCATGCCCTAAAATATTCATTTGTTATTTGTAACATAACGATTGATTGTAAATAAAAAAAAAGAAAACATACTCGAACAAGATCATTGAGCATTGACCATTTAAAATTCCAATCAAGTTTTATTTCTTCTTTTTTAAGAATATCCTTCAAAAAACAAAAAGAATTAATTCATATATGACTTAGAAAAAAAAAAAGGAATCTACAATTGTAAATTGAAAGTATCAATATTTCTATTTTCAATAAATTATATCAATTTTAACTTTCAATAAATCTTCATACTCGAAGAAAACAAACAATAGACATCAGACATTTCCTACATTGTCTTTCTATGCTGAGTATCAGTTTTCAATTACAATCATACTTTTGAATTTTGATCAAAAACTTTGCTCATAATAATAGAAAACCTTCACTAAATATTCGATATCTCAGCAACAAAGATCCAACAGATCAAACCATTCTATGATATTTACCTACTGACTAGACTCTAACAATTAAAGAATCTCAGCTTGAAAGCGATTTATTATCTGAAAACCTTTCCTCATAAGTAGATATGCATCAATCTCAATCTTGCCTTTAGATGGCTACAAATAGTAGCATTCGTCAAGATTCATGATTGTTCTTTTTAAGTAAAATCGATGTGAATATCTGTTCATAAGAATAAATATGTTTTAAGAATAAGAAAAGTATTAATAGATCAAAATTTCTGTAGAATAAGTCGAACTGAAAAAAAACAACAAAGTACAAACATTTTTCTTTTTTAACTCACATAAGTATACATAAACTTAACTGAATTATATGTGAACAATAATACTTAATTAAATTTAATAGATGTCATTTACCTTAGGATGGATAATGGTGAGAATTTTAGAAGAAAAGATTCTTACTGACATCTTCGCCTACAAAATCTTAAGAGACGCAATATCATAAAATATCGAGCACATCAATGACACGAGCATTATCTATTGAATTTTAATTAAGTTTTTATGCTTTTCTAAGATACATTCATTCTTAATTTAATCAGGCTTATTTCTGCCAACAGTCAAAAAAGATTATTTTAGCTCTTTTTTAGATTAAAATTCACCTAATAGGAGTTTTAACAGTTATTACTTAAGGCTTAATATTTCCAATTACGAATGATACCATAGGGAAAGATAAAAATCACCAATCGTGAAAATGAATACGATAATATCAAAAAGTATGATTAATAAATAGAATCTTTTTATCAAATATTTCAAATTTATCAATAATAAAAGAAAAAAAAATTGAACATAAATCTTACTTCTAAACTGCCTCTATCTCCATATTCAAAAACTAATGCCGGTGCATTTTGATCAATATAAAGTCCAAGAAATGTGTTTAGATTTTCATGACGTAAATCTTTTAATTGTCGTAATTCACGCATAACTTTCGTACGAAGTGATAATGGACCAATATGTAATTGTTTAACTTCAACTAAATCACCCTAATCATAAATTTTTATTACCTAATTTTCAATTTATATTTAAATAAATAAAGACTTACATTATAACGTGCTGTTTTACCTGCACGAAATTCTTCACTACGTATTGATAAATTACTTCTTTCATGTACTTCATTTCTTAAATTAACCTTAAAATGAAAAAGAAAAATTTTTTTTTCATTAAAACAAAAAAATTCTACTCAACAAACTTTGCTCGTAAATATTGATCCTTTAGGCATAACAAACATTAAATCATCTGGTAATAGAATTATTTTATTTGGACCTTTGGACATTTGTTTTCGAGCACGTCGAGCTCTAATATATATAAAATATCTCTGGTTTTTTTTTCTCAATTGAAATTTTAACAAACCTCATAACAAAAAAAGCAATAAGTACAGCTGCACATGCTAATACAACTCCTAATAATGAAAAAAGTACAATTCGAAGAATTTGCCAACCTAAAAAAGCAAAATTTAATTTAATTTTTTATTAAAACAAAAATCTAATTAACCAGTATCATTATTCGTTATAGTATCAAGATTTGGATAATTAATTTTTGTACATAAATTTAAATTTGTATCAATATTTTCAAATATTGAATTTATTGTATCAATTTTTTTAAATATTGTCCATGTATAATTACATTGTCTACCAATTAATAAATATTTAAATAAACGTTGATATGTACTATCTAAAGTAATTGATGTAAGAAATGATGATAAATATGATTGTTGAAGATATTCTACACTTTCAAGTTCATTTAAAATAAAAATTATCTTTAAAAAACAAAAAAAAAATAAGTAAAATTTTAATTATTTAATCAAAAAAAAAAAAAAAATCTTACATCATCACTAAATGTTATATTCAATGTATCAGAAAGAATTTCTTGTTCATAATTTAAAATAATATCATTAAAATTATTAGTTGAACCAATATCTATTGGTAAAAGATGAAGAATAGGAAATAAATCCGATGTTCCAATTGATGTTGTATTTGGTAAATATTGTGTTGTATAAAAACTAATAAAATGAGGTGACCAACGAAGAAATATAAAAACAATATTGTTTGTTGTTGATTTTGATTTTGAATATGATACAATTTGATCATATAAGATAATCTCATCATCATATGAACATAATATATAATAGACTAAAAGATAAATAATATTTACACAAAAAAAAAAATAATTGTAGATAAGAAATCAAAGAGAAAAATACTATTTATATCGTTTCTTGAATCGAATCATAACAGAAGTGTCAATAAACTTGAGCTTCATTGATTAGAAAATAATTCTCTATTACACTTAAACTACAATATCTATTAAAAGAAAAACTTCGCCAGTATACAATTGCTCAGTGAAAATTATAGATGAACTGCTAATCATCTATAAAGATACTGCACATACTGTTTATTAAACACTCTAAAATGATTTCAATAGAAAAGTTAATGAATTATTCAATATTGGAAAATTTAAGCGAAATAGAGCATCTAAACAAAACGAGTAGCGGCGTAACCAGGGGGTGGCCAGGTGGGGCTAAGCACCACCACCGACTTAGAGCTCAACTAGCTGAGCCCTTCCACCGTTAAAATCCTGGTTTCGCCACTAAAAACGAGTCCGATGCAAATAATTGATTCACTAAAATAGTTTTAAATAAAAAAAACAAGCTCATCAATACGAAAAATGAGATCTTTATCAAACTATAGTTAATTTATTATCAATTGAAAAAGTATTATTAAATCAATATAATATTACATAATCGTTTAGAATAAATCTATTTTAATGATATTTGAAGTTATTGCTCTTTTCTTTTCAAAAGATTTTTCTTCATAGAAAAATCTTAAAAAATGATTTGTTACTTTTTCTAATGAGATTGAAAACACGTTTTATGATAATGATTACTCCTCATTATTAAAAAAAATCATACATTCATTTACTGTCACAGAATAATGAAAGAAAAAAAAAATATTATAAACAAGAAATTTATATTTACAAAAAGAAAAAAGGAAAAAATCTATTAAGTATATAGGATCATTAGAACATTTATAATTTCTTTTATACATTTAAATAATTTTTAGCATACATCTAAATATCATATATATTTAGATTCTTAATTGTTAAGTAGAGTTGTTTTTTTTTGTTCTTTATAAAAACTCACCTTTACTTCGTAAAGAACTTGATGATGGTGGAAAATTTGATTTAAGTAAAATTTGTTCAAGTATTAAATTATTTTCTGTTAAATAACTTGAAAATTCTTGTGCAAGATTAAGATAAAAATCACTTGATTCACTTATAATTATTGAAAAATAAGTTAATGAATATTGATTCATAAATAAAGTAGCTGCTAATGATAATTGTTGATTTGTAACTAATAATTTTAAAATATTATTTACAGATATATCAATATGAGAAAAACATATTGGACTACTAATATTAATTGATTTAAATTTTAATGCTAATGCTAATGGTAATGAACAATCACCTTTATTCCAACTAAAAGCAATTGATTGAGAATTATTCCATAATAAAATTTTTTCAATTGAATCAAGTAATTCAACACCTGATAATGATAAACGTTGAACATATAAAGAATTTGTTAATATACTATCATTTGAACGTAATATTGAAGATATTTCACTTGTATTTATATGTGATAATATATATGTAAAATTATTTAAACATAAATAGGATGGAATACATAGAAAAAAAAATATAATATCATATAATAGATGCATGTATTCAACATTCGATTTTGAAATCAATTTAATCTACAAATAAGATTAATTTGAAATTTTTTTTTTTTTTTTATAAATATTAAAGATTTTCTTGTAATATTATAAATTAGACTAAATTTAACAATTTTTAATAAATACTATTAATAAGAAGAATTTAATTTTGAAAAGAATAATAAACATAAAGTATTCACAACAAAAAAAAAAGAAACCTATAGCGATAATAATAAGATGTAAACATCAATGAACAATATCATATCATTACAATTTTGAAATTAAGAAGATTATTACATATAATAATAATCAACATATGATTATTATTAGTAGTTGTAATAGAGAATATGATATTTATTATGAATATGAATAGACTTAGTTTTCTAAGTTTATAGATTAATTTCGAAAAATAATCTGAAAGTTTTTTTTTTTTTTTTTTGAGAAGAAACAAAAACATTCTAAATATGATTATATTTGGTGTAAAGACAATTACATTTACTAATCTAAAAAATATAACGCCATAGATTTAAATATAAACGAGAAGAGAAAAAGAACAAAATAATAAATAGATTTTCTTATATATTGATAATGTTTTATTTTTATCATCAAATATGATGACACTTAGTTTGACAATACTTGATCAGATTAGAAAACTTCAACAACTAATCAATGTCATATGCATGAGTAAATATTCATATAAAAAAAAAGTATCAACAAATGTAATATGTATTGTTATTAGGAATGCGTAAAAGTAAATATATTTGTGTGTGTGTATATATGACATTTAATGATTATATCTTTAGAAATTATCATTCTAATGAATAGATAAATCTTTATTCTCTCTTCGTAACTTATTTGCTATGACTTCTTTGTAGGAGAAAGTATAATATATTGTTTAACCTTTTTTGAAGAGGATTCATTCTTTCTCTTTTTTTTTCTTTTTCTAATAGAAATAAAGCTGAAGTGTCAGAATAAGTTATCATTTAAGAAAAATCCTAACTATCATAATTGTCATACTTGTCCTGGTTTCAAAAACACGAATAGAGAATATTCTAGAAGTCAAAAAAAAAAGAAAGAAAAACCTCGTAGAATCCTATTTAATAAGTTCAATGACTTTCATGTGTTTTCTTTTTTTTGTAAGAATTTTCAAATCCTATAATAGTATGAACTTTGTCCTTGGAGAATTAATCAATCTGATTCTATTTGTCATCTTGTCTCTTATATCTTAAGGAAAAATGACTACAAAAAAGAAAAGTAAAAAAACATGTCAACAAGCAAAAGTCTATTCGGTTTGTTAATTCGAACGTAAGGAAAGATGAATAATAACTATTATTATTCTAATAAGAAAAAGAGAGATAAAAAACGAAGATATTTAGCATTGAAGTAGAAAAAAAAAAGTTGATATGATGAAATATCTAAACCAATACATTGTCTTGTTAGCTCGTTTATTCTTATGGCTGAAAGAATAACATGAAAGTAACCAAATTTAAAGCTTATAATATAAGGATAATTGTGGATGTCGTCTCATTAGAACGAGAGAGAAAAACCGGTTTCCGGTTGTATTTTTTTTTTTTTTGGCATAAAAAATAAAATCTTATTTATCTATTTCTTCTTATAACTTAGATTTCTTAAGATGCATACTTGTTTTTTATTTTTTGATGTAAAATATTTTTATTCAATGATTAAAAAATAATTTAATGTGCTTCTTATGTTTTTGAAAAGTAATAATGATAAAGTCATCGTGAGTGCATCCACTTACCTAATGATTGACTGACAAATATGAAACCATAAGAGATCTACTTGAACGAGTTGCTTCTTGTCAATTCTGACTTCTCTTGTTTTGACTGTGTTCAACAAGGAATAGTGCATCAAAAAGGAAAATCTAGCTTGAAAAGAAAAAAGCAAAACGGAAGAATAAGAGAAAAGAAAGTTTTATTTTTTTCCCTACCTTCTCTTTTTCCTTTATGGTTCCATTCAAACTCACAAGGCGTCTGATAATGAATATCTTCTTTATTCTCACTGTCATCGTCGTCGTTGACAATACTGCAGATGTGAAATGTCATTAATCGGCTTAAAATGGAATGTATTCTTGCCTTCATCACGAGATTTTTTGCCTTACTTTTGTCTATAATATAATGAAAAAGAGGAAAATAATTAAAATTTTGTCTTTGATAGATTCAATTAGAAAAAAAAATGATGCTGCAATCAAATAAAAAAAAAAAAGAAGATAGAAGAACTTTCTTCAATGTATTACTATAATCAAAAAAATAAAATAAAATTTTCTTGACAAATAGAAAAAAAAAGAAAAGTAATTCTAGCAAGACAAAATTTATTTCAAAGGATATGATAAGAAAAGTCTACTTGTCGACAAATCATTAGTTCATATTTGCTTTGAAACTGATATCTTTCCGATACATAATTTTTTTTTTAGTGTTTCAAAGAATTTACTACGGAAATAATCTTTGTGAAGAATTTTCTTTTGATACTAATTATTTATTCAAGGAAAATAATCTCCTACCATAGAAAAATCTTGTCAGTTATTCTAATATGATTATAATCGGTCAAGTGTATTTTGTAATATATTCTTTCGAATAATATTACTTTTTTAAGATTTATTATAAACTAATCAAGTAGAAAAGCAAATTATAGATTTATAAAGAGATTGTTTCAAGATATATTTTCTTTCTGGAATAAACATTTCAACAAATGTACGAGTTAAAATTAGTCGAGTTGTAACCATCAATCATTTTAATTCGATTAACTTTTTGAATTTTTGAGTAGATTTAATTAACTTGAAATAGTTTATTATTTTGATTTCAATGACATATTTCAGAGAATAAATTAAAATATATGTACGTAGGGTATTTAAAATATTCCCGAACTAGTTTTATTTATAAATAATAATAATAAGAACTGCTGCATTAGTATTGTTACCTATGGAAAGTTCATACAGTTCTCTATCTATAGATATGTTAAGCTCTGCTGAATGAAATATATAAATATATATTAGACCCAACCTCCATGCACTAACATAAAATTTAAAAACTTTAGCAAAGTTATATGTTTTGAAAAGTAAGTTGTTATTCAAAACTTATGAATATTTGCTGACTGACTTTTCCATGGATTGACTTTAGTTATATGTAATTGATCATGCGAAATTTTTTGCATCGAACATTTGAAATGGAAATAGTCTTCGCTATTTACTTAGTTGCGATTCATCCGGATTCTAAAAGGTTTCATAGTGATGTTATTTATATCCGGATTGTTATCAATGTATGACACTTCATTTTCAAAACGATGATCTGACTCAGGAGCTGTAGTAACCAATGAGGGATTTATTAACATGAACTGTCATCGCACGTTCACATATAAGCATAATCTGATAGAACAAGAAATTTTATCTTTGAAGGATGGACAATTTTTATGATTATGTGTCATTGTATAGAGAGTAGTCTCAAGTATATTTGGATATTTTCGTTTATATGTTTCATGCTGCAGACCTTATCATGTTTATAGATAACAAACTTCTTGAACATCTTCCATATTTCATTGTTCTTTACTTTAAAAACTTAGTTTTTTTTATATAGTTATTATTCTTTGAGAATGTTTTCATATATTCGTCTATAAGTGAAGTTTTGTCATATTTATATGTCGACTATGAACGAAACGATAGAGTCTTTACTGTGCAAAATTAACAATTGTTTTTCTATGTTCATAGTTGCAAAGGAATCGCGGAAGTTAGAATGACTTTTATTCACCATAAATTATATCTTTGAAGTTTCATAATAGAGTAGTAAATCGATCGGATATTGAAATTCTTATAAATTTCGATCGTAATTGTAATCTTGCGCCTCATTTAGAACCAATTTGGTAATACTCACTAACCAATACAATTTTTAACATTACTGAAGATTTCTCATATTAAAAAAATTAAAATAAAAAAAAAAGATTTAAATCGATTTTTAATCCTTTTGTAAACGATTCTAATTAAAATGAACTGAAAAAAAAATCAAAACTTCATGGATTATTGCGATTTAGATGAATCAATGAAATTTTAGTTTTTTCAGTTATTTTTAATTATAATCATTTTGTAATTCATTTAAATCTCATTATGACCCTGATTTTCGTTTTACATGTATTGAAACTAATTAAAACTAGTAATCATATGTATGCCCTAAATTAGATATGTTCACACCAAGTATCAATGAACCATCGTCCACTGTAGCACCCCCTTTTAAATAATAAAGGAAGTATATCTTATTACTGCTAACTTATAAAGAAACAATGGTGGTATCTTCTCTTCTCTTGTTCATCGATATAATAACAAGGAAGAACAAGAAAACAGAACAATATATGTGCTGATAAAAATAGTGATGAGCCGAGAATAACTTTGATATAGTTATTTCGTGTTTAAATAAAATATACATGATTATAATACCAGGGAATGTTATCTAAATTGTCTAACAACATTCTATTGAAGATAATTATCATTTTAGAGAATAAGAAATATAATAGAGTTTTTTCAGTCTGTCAACACTATTCTTAGCTGTTCATATGTTAAAGATTATTATAGACCATACAATGCAAAAATATATTGTGTTACACGTGTATTCGAACTCGCCATATGAATACGAGAAAACGAAACTTACAGACAAGTACATGAATTTCAATCAATTTAAGATTAAAAGAATGTCTAAGATTGAATAATGAGTATGTTCACATGCGATATATAATAGATAAATGTGAGAAAATGACTCTTATTAGAATTCTATCCGCATCTATTCGATAGTTTAGCTAATGAGAATCAACTAACCATTATATTGAGTATCAAATCTTTTAAAACCTAGAATATTCAAAGCACTATTAGTTTATCCTGATTGCTATTTTAGACAGATCGGAATAGTATTAATTTATAGTTCTTTTTTTTCTTGAATAGTAGAAATAGTTTGATTGTTTTTGCAAGAATTGAGAATGAATTGTCTCAGACTAGAATTCTTTGCTCTTTTATTTTCTTCTATACGCATACATTGTTAATGTGTATCAATAGGAATAAAGAGTTCAGCATACTAATATTTTTGAGATAATGTCTTTCGAGTAATGGTTAGAATGAATAGGAAAACCGGCTTTCAGTTGGTAAAAAGAAATTTATTTTAAATAAAGAATCCTTCTGGTTTTTATTAAACTTGTTTGAAAGTTTGTTCTATGGAAAACCAAGATCTCTCACAACTAGTCTTCTAAATTCTATTGCAAACGTTTGTTGCGTAAGCTTATCTGAAAGTACAAACATTTTTTTAACGAAATGAGACATTTTTGAGCTTGTCACAACTTCTTTTCATCAAACTGGACTTGATTTGCAAAAGGTGCCGAAGCGATTTTTCTATTTAGTT